TTATTGATGTATAGCTGGGATCTCCAAACTTGGAAATTTTAAGACTTGTAGACTTCAGCTCTCAGAATTGGGAGGTTTGGGTATTGTGGGAATTGTAGTCCACAAGTCTTAAAGTTGCCAAGTTTGGAGACTCCTGCTATATAATAATGGCAACTCTGATGATAACTGAGTTCTGCCAATACTGGTTGAAACCCTTTTCAGGATCAGCCAGGCTTGCCAACCAGATATCCCCAAAAGTCAGCAATTAGAAGCAACAAAATCTACATTCCATATAAGGAAAAGTCAACAGTCATTCTTCAAAGTCCTGCCAAGGAAATGCCAAACTTTGCCAATGTGTGTGGCTCATACAGCTTGGCATCACAACTGGTGATGAATGAGCCCAAGCTTGGCAACTCTCTTGCAATTCCCCAAAAAAACCCAAGCAATCAGAGGCAGCCTAACAATCATGATGGAAAGAAAACAATCTTTTTTTTTAATGTTGTGTTCATGCTTGGCATCCATAAAAGCAAATGTAAAAAGAGGGCCTTACTTTTTTAAAAAAAGCATTATCTGAAACACAGCAGGGTGAATACCTGCAAAACGGTTTGCCATCTATGCAATTTTCATCCTATTCTGCCCCAAACAATGGGGCAGCTTTTATTATTCGGTGTTTCTCCCAGTGGATACAAATCTTCTTTTAATGGACTTTCACTGCAGTTTGAATTAAGTTAGATCACTAAACTTGAAACTGACTCATGCCTTTCTCAAATCATCGATCTCCAATCTGAATCAAATCTTTTATATATTATATTATATATTATATTTATATTTATTTGATTTGTATACCGCCCTACTCCCGAAGGACTCAGGGCGGTGAACAGCCAAACAATAAAATACATAGATACAAAAAATTTAAAAAACCAGATAAAATCGAATTAAATAGTTTTGGCCCTGACAAATTAAAACACGCCAATAATTTAAAACAAATTAAAATTTACATATTAAAAAAAGAGGGAAAGGATTAGGCCAAGCCCGCCTGGTGGAATAAAAAGGTCTTCACGGAAGGTGCGCAGGTCTGGGATCCTTCGTATCTCCGGGGGGAGCTCATTCCAGACAGTAGGTGCCCCCACAGAGAAGGCTCTCCCCCTGGGAGCCGCCAGTCAACATTGTTTGGCCGACGGCACCCGGAGGAGCCCCTCTCTATGGAAGCGTACTGGTCGGTGGGAGGCTGTTGGTGGTAGCAGGTGGTACCGTAAATAACCAGGTCCTAAGCCATGGAGTGCTCTAAAGGTGATAACCAAGACCTTGAAGTGCACCTGGAAGACCACCGGGAGCCAGTGCAGCTCGCGCAGGAGAAGTGTTACATGGGAGCGCCACATCGCTCCCATTACCACCCGTGTGGCCACACTCTGCGCCAGTTGGAGCCTCCAGGTGCTCCTCAAGGGGAGCCCCATGTAGAGAGTGTTACAATAGTGCAGGCGGGAGGTGACGAGGGCATGAGTGACCGTGCGTAGGGTCACTCATGCCCTCGTCACCTCCCGCCTGGACTATTGTAACACTTTAAAGTTTATTATCTCTTTTCCTCTGTCTCCTTGTTGCTGACTTTGATTGGTAGGAACTTCATTAATGCGTTATATTAATGTCACAGATTTCAAGAGATCTGGTAACTGGAAGGTCTTGATAATTAAGTGGAATGAACAACTTGAAATATATCCATGTTACAGGGTTAGATTAGTTCAGAACCATCATTTATGTCAGATTAAAAAAATCTATCACATTCAGCATTTCTGTTCTCATAGTGGCCAACCGGATCACTAATGGAAATCTAATAAGCAGAATACAAGCACTATTATGTTTTTTCTATGGTTTGCCAAAGGCAATTTAGATTTTTTTTAAAATTTCAAATCTCCCATTATTGTCTAGGTCCCTGGTATCTGTCAGAACTTCTGGTGTCACATGATTTATCTTAATTATAAAAAGATAATTTTCTTATTGATCTAGCCTTTTATGATTAATTAATGATAGGGGAATGAATATTGAAAAGGGGGCCTTTGCCTTAGATATATTACCGTAAATCCTTCCCGGAAAAAAACAACAACGATGCCAACTCTGGCAAGTAACATCAGGCTATAAACCATGCATTTTCCCTCAAGTTTGTAATGCACTGAAGTTTGTTTGTTTTGTTATTATTAAATTCTTCCTGGTCTTTTATTCTAAATGTTCTTTTAATTTTTTTTACTGAATTGAAAGGCAGGGAATTAAATCAACATGCAGGCAAAAAGGAGACACTTTTTTTAAAAAAATGAAAAGGATGGGGTGACTATTATCAGGTAACTGTATTTATAGAAAAGGAAGATATATTTATGGGTTGACAATAAAACTAAATGTGAATTTACTATAGACAGGATTTAATTTTGTCCAGAACAAAAATAACTTCACCTAGAGCAGGGGTCTCCAAACTTGGCAACTTTAAGACTTGAGGACTTCAACTCCCAGAAGTTGCCAAGTTTGGAGACCCCTGACTTAGAGCAAGGAAGGTACCATCATGCCACATACCATAGGTATGCTTAAGTTTTGGTAAATACCAACTTTGTCACAGAAGACAGTCCTGACTTCAAGACATCCATCACCCTATTTCTGAAACGGTAGACAGAAAAATCTGCCTGTGCATATGTATTCTCAATATATCTAATAACTCTCCAGTTTTTAAAGATATATTACTTATGAAAAGAATTCCATAAGTTAACAACCATTCATTCAGCAATAGTTAAAAAGTTACAGCAGCAAAAAACAGCAAATAAATAAATAAATAAATGACTTACCAGTCTCAGATCAAAATTTGGATGCTTAGCAACCAGTATGTACTTACAAGAGTTGCACCAATCCAGAGTCACATGATTGCTATTTGTGGCCTTCTCAGGTAGCTTCTAACAAAGCAAATGGAGGAAACTGGATTCATTTAACAACCGTATGATTCACTTAACAAAATATGACTTCAGTAACAGAGTTGTTAATGCCTGAAATGCACTACCAGACTCTGTGGTCTCAACCCAAAACCCCCATAACTTTAACCTTAGACTGTCTACTATTGACCTCACCCCATTCCTAAGAGGTCTGTAAAGGGGCATGCATAAGTGCACCAACATCCCTGTCTAATGTTCCCTTTAATTGTATTCATTTTATGTATTCAATTCATGCTTATACTTATATATATTATCTAATATGTACTTGACTAAATAAATAAACAAACAAACAAACCATGGCAAGAAAGGTTGCGAAATTGCGTATGACTCACTGCCTTGCTCTAGCAACGTGATCCCAATTGTAATTGTAAATTGAGGACTATTTTTTATTGGAATCAGAAATTTAAAGATTAGATTGGGCTTGCAATTGATGTGTTTGTTCAAAAGGTTGCAATGGTTATTCACTACTCTTGTGTTCGATTAATGGCAAGCAAGTTGTCCAAGAGTGATGGAACTACTAGGCTGACCCATCTGGAGGGAACCAGGTTGAGAAAGAATATCTCTTACTATTTTTAGCCTTTGTTTATCTTCCATAAACCAACATGGAATTCTCTTGCTGCTCCATAAATTGCAATGAATATGACATAGATGACATAACTAACTAGTGACAAAATGTATACCCTTTTTTCTTCTGATCAAGGGGCAGATCTGAGTTAAAATACTTTGCTTAATTGTCAGCTACATTTGCATGCACTTGAGTAATAATTTTTTATAATACTTTTTGCTTCCCTGCAGACTTCATAAAATATTTGCAATATATACATTAAAATTGCTTAGCGCATTGTAAGCCGCCCTGAGTCTCCGGAGAAGGGTGGCATATAAATCAAAAATTAAAAAACCAACAAAAAAACCCCAACAACAATAGTCTGTTTTAAAATTTATGCAGGTTAACGACACAGAATGATTCTTTGTTTCTGGATAAAATATAAAATTCAACACGAGCCCTATAATCAGAAAGATTAACTTTCTGATAAACTTTTTATCTAGTACTAGCTGGACACCCGTGTTTCCCTATGAAACTATGTGATTGGGTGTGATAAATTGACACTTAAAGCTGAAACTTAATATAGAATGTGTAACTCCGTAGCACCAGAGCGTGTTAATATAAGGCAACTGGTAGTTGGAACAGAGGGGGAGGGGGAGTAGAATGTCCCAGCCCGCAGGCCGGATGAGTCACGTGCTGGCCACGTCCATGCCTGGTTTAGCGAAGGGATAGCATCAGAGCGTATTAATATAAGGCAACTGGCAGTTGGGACAGAGTTCTTTTCAGGTGGGGAGGGGGAATAGAACGTCTAACTCCTTAGCGTCAGAGCGTGTGAATATAATACTGTATATGAAATACTAATGATCTGATGGTCATTTTGAAAAGTCCTTTCTTAGCGAGCATCTAGAAGCCAAGAGGAACATATGTGTCAAATTTCAAGTTTGTAGGCTTCACCATTCTGGAGATTTCGTGCTGAGGGAGTTGGTATTTGGCTTTTATATGTTTGCATGAAAATGAGAAAACATATTCCTGGATTTATACAGGAAATAGAACTAGATGTTTTGGACCATGGCTTAAAACAGTCATTTTCCCAAGTTTCCAGGAAAAGAATATAATTTTCCTAGAGATGAACTGCCAACCTCACTAAACATTCATAAAGTGGGTTAAATATCAGGTAGAAATTATAGTGACATTTCTTCATCACTAAGGCGAGGATTTCTATGACCTAAAAATGTTAGACATATGCAAGTATTGATGACCTTAAAATCATTTAAATATGATAAATTAAATATGAGTTATAAAGCAAAAATATAACTTTACAATCCGATATATGCCTCTCAGTATAAGCATGTCTGCTACTGTTGTGCAGTGGTCACTTCCTTTATGAAGCTAATATCACTTTTAACTATGTGGAGTGCCAACTTTTATTGTAATGGAATGCATGTGCAACTTTAGCAAACCTAAAACAATTCTTAATTTATTGGTGTGCTGCAGAAATCATGACGCCAGCAGAATAATGTCCAGTTTTATTTTATTTTAAAAATTTTGAGAAATACATTTCCATAGATTTTCATTCAATGTGAATGAGAAGAATATTACATCTATCAACACTGAAATATCTTTTTTTTTAAATTCTTCCTGAGGAAGCTTCACATTTTAGCAATAATAAAGTATAATCTGTACAATATATTAATAATAGTTTTCTCATGTGCAGAATTGGGCAAATATTGCAATAGAAACATACACAATTTTCTTGGAATATGTGATTAATATCTGTGTTTCTATTTCTGTCACCTGACTCCCCCTTTAACTGTCCTTCAGATAGTTTTAAAATTGAGTTTTATTTTCACCTGTTTCTTACAGCCAACTCAAGTCACATCAGTTTTATTCTGTAAATTCCTGTGAAGGATCTGTGAAATATATGTATGTCTCTGCTTTTATAGGTATACACATACAGGCACATATGCATACATTGGCATGAAGTCTCACTTAAGCAAGATATTAGATGCTTATGTGATTTTTTTGAATGCTTTAAGACCAAATTTACAGAATACTGGCTTACATTGCAGTGTTTACTCAGAAACCTCTGTCACAGAACCACTGCATATTACAGAGTAATTCTTTAGAAACTTAATATTTTAGGGTAGTCTTTCCCCATACTTCTAGATGTATTAAATTAAAGACCCAAAATTTCTTAGCTCATATCTGGAAGGGGTCGGTTGAAAGAAACACTGTTTTTGATATATTCTCTGCTTTATGCAGACATTCAGCTAATGAGATCCCATTATTCAGATACCACAAAAGGAAAAAAAAAACACATAAAAGTTCTCTGCACTTCTACCATATTGTGCAGAAATGACTGCACCTCTATAAAGGACGAAGTGAATCACTCTTCAGCAAAAAAATCTTTTCACAAATGAACAGGAGAGTGCATACATGTCCAAGAACAATTTTACATTTGTTCACAAAAGGTAATGAGAGAGGTACAGTAGAAAAACTTGTACATTGTATTAAAGTGCTGACTTCCAATAATTGATTGAAATTGGACTAAAGCTAAAGGAGCTTCCTACTCCGTAAAGGTTTTTTATTTTTAAATAATTTTTATTAAAGAGTTTTTTCCCCTAAAGTATGGAATGTCTTTCAATTTACACCAATTTGAAGTCTTTTTAAAGAATATTTAAACTAAGAGAATGTTACCTTTGGCTGGGCAACGTTTTGGATATTTAATTAACCATATGGATTTCAATAGAACACAGCAATGTTTTTATTCCAAGTATATATTTTAGCTTACATTCAACCAATACTGAACATATTTTTTGGATATGAGGCATCATGGGACAGTTGGTAGTTAAGGTAAAATTGGCTTATAATAGTATTTAGATTTACTCTTCGTAGTCTTCTAAAACATTGATCATCACTACTAACTCAAGCCAACATTTTGTCACATCTTTAAAACTGTGCATATTGCTTTCAAAGGCAACAGCAGCACATTAATTGTTTAAATATATTTTATTTGCTTTATTAGCTTTTATTTGCTTGAAGAGCATCAATTAAGCATCAATAATAGGGTGGGTTATGTCCAATACTTTCCCCAGGCATAAACGAGTTCGGTTTTTATCTTCTTTCTCTTGAGATTTTTCTTTTAAATTGTGATCTAAATATTTTCTTAGTGTCTAGATATGGCAGAGGTTGGAGTTTGGGAGTTGTATGATATTTCACAATCAAAGGCCTGCTTGGATGATTACCTGATTAATGCCTAGCTTAGCGCATCCATTTTTAGCATATATAATATTATCTGTGTGTCCGTGTGGGAAAAAACCAGAAAGCCTTAATTCCATCTGGAAACCTTAATCCCATCCACAGCTGCCAAATTTATGAATCGGTGAAACTTTGTGGAGGATAAAGGAATTCTGAGGCCCACCAGCTTTTGACTGGTTCTGTATGAAAACATTGCAGCCTCTATTTTTCCAACGACTGTTTATCAACCTACCAAGTTGAATAGTATTTAGGGAAGTAGAGGTGGTGGGATCAGTGGTGGTATTCAGCCGGTTCTATCCAATTTGGGAGAACCAGTAGCGGCGGCTGTGGAGGCTCCGCCCACCTGCCCGGATATCATCACATCCCCTTTTTGACGCTCTGCGCAAGCGCGGAAGGCCCTGCGCATGTGCAGAGGTGGCACATGCAAGCGGTAACGAAGGTAAGTGGATACCACCCCTGGGTGGGATACAAGCGAGAAAGAGTGTGTAGAAGCAACTGCATACTTAAATCAATATAATTTTATTGTGGTTTTAAATGTCTCAGTGCTTCTAATGGAACCATGATTTCCTCAACGCTCTGTTGACAGTGGTTTGAGAACATATTCTGTTTTCTTGCTGTCAGTCAGGACTGTGGGAATCTCTGTGCATAAACAGCTGTGTAAAAGCTGGTGACACATGAGGGAACTGTGAGCATGTTAGCATCCTATAAGCTCTTGGTTTTAATAGGTAAATCATTTATATTACAAAACAGTATTGTTCCTCCAATTGCTGAAGCCTCAAATCTCCCAAAGGACAATGGAATGAGACAGCAGGCCTAGGAACACTCCTGTCTGTATCTAGCATTTTTCCGGATCCATATCTAGATGGATATACTGTATAGTTTTTCCCCTGATATAGCATAGCAGCTGAGTTAAGGCACCTGTCCATCTCTTCTAGAAATCTTCACATTTATGAAAACTCCCAATTCTGATGACAGAATGAACAGATAAAATGAATTCTAATATATGCATATTCCAGTAATGGTAATTCTTACTTGCTAATATTGCTCATTGGCTGATCTCAATAATTAAGCAGTGTCACTTAAACTGAGGATTCATAAAACAGTTCCGGAAGAAGGCAATGGCAAACTGCTTCTATATTGTGCTGATGCTATTCCCAGAATTTAGGCCAATTGGGAAGAATCCTTACTTTTTAAAATAATATATATTCTTACTCCACATTCACTGAATTAAAATCCAGTTCTATGTTTCTAAACCAGAACTGTGAAGTGGGAGTAGGCTTGGCATTTTGTGCTACATTTTTGTTACCTTTAAAAAAAAGTCACCAGTGTAATTCAATTATTTGAAAACTGAGCAGAGGAGGTAATTTACAAAATCAGCATGAGAGAGACACACACGATATTATTAAAGTGATAGGAATAAACTATATAAAATTGTAAATATTTGTTCTGGTTTTGGAACATTATATAGATCTTCTTCTTGAAGTTTTAACCCAAACATTTGACATTTGATGCCACAGAGTGGTCTCTAAACACAATCCACTTACCATTGCATTGAATAGGAGTTACATGATGCATTTTCATATTTCTGACAGAGCTGAAGGCCATGATAGATTAAGCTTTGAGCTACCTCCATCTATCTTTACATTGTTATGAAACCCGTGTACTGTCAGAGATAAACGCATACAATTTTTTAGAATCCAGTTGACAATATATCACACAAATCTCAATCCTTTCTTTCAAGTTGAAGAGCCTTAGTTCCGATAGTTTCCTGGAAACTTAAGTTTGTTTGTATTTTAAGTCAAGAAGAGTCCTTGTGCTATCTCACTTTTTGCAACTCCTGTCTCAGCCACGATGGCAACGGTTGTCCCAATTTGTGTAGAAGTTTTGATAGTTCCACATTGTGATCTCTGTAGTAGCTTGACAGAAAAACCCTGCACTGGTGGATACAAAAGCTGACATTTTATTTAGCGAAATAATGCAGTTGCCTTATTTATACTTCTACCTTTTCACTTATTTGAATCTGAAAAATATACCATATTTTTCGGAGTAGAAGACGTTCTGCACTATAAGACACACCTTTTTTGGGGAGGAAAACAAGAAAAAAAAATCTGCCTCTGCCTCTGCCTCCCAGCAATTTGCCTCCTTGCAGCAAACAGCAAACAGCCTGTTTCAGTTTCATTTTCAGCACAGCCTGATTAGCACAAGAAAAAAAAATCTGCCTCTGCCTCCCAGCAATTTGCCTCCTTGCAGCAAACAGCAAAGGACGAAAATGGGGCACGCGGAGGTGGCACTAGGCAATGGCAATCCCTGCAGCCTGAAACAGCTCATGGTCCGGAGTCCGATCCAACCAACAATCAGCTACTTGTGCTAATCAGGCTGTGCTGAAGCTGAAGCTGAAACGCGCTATTTGCTGCAAGGAGGCAAATTGCTGGGAGGCAGAGGCCAAAAGGTAGGGTCTGGCAGGTGGGCAGGGCTACATTCGGTGTATAAGACACACCCAAATTTTCACCCTCTTTTAGGGAGGGAAAAAGTGTGTCTTATACTTTGAAAAATATGGTATTTTCTTGTTACATAAATCATTTTTATAAATAAATATTAATAGAAGAACTAATGAACACACAAATATTCTTATCGATCTAGGAGAGATTGCACACCAGGAAGAAAGATGGGAAAGTATACATGATTTCCCTTTTGATTTCACTATCTAGGTTGCAGTTTTGTGGCTTTTTAAAAACATGACAGTTGACTTATGAGCTGTTCAAGAAGAAGCATGAAATTCAGATTTAGTACATCCCCTTCCCAAACAACTGATCATTGATTTTCAACCCATTTTTTAAAAAAACATTTCTATGCTCAATGCTCTAGTATGAGTATGTTAAATATATATTAAATCTGCCAAGCATCTTGTGGGGTTATGGCAGGGTAAAAATGAAATAAATCCATGAAATCAATAATTTTTCTAAGCACAACTTTTCAGCTAGTCCAGCTAATATATTTTAACACTGAACGGTTTGACTTTTTGGGTTATAGGAAAGCCTCTTAATTTACAGATTTCTTTGAATCTTCTTCATTTTTTCACAAAATAAATATAGATGCAATCAGCCACAGTAGAATGAATAGGAGATTATGCCTGATTAGCGAGTGAGATCAGATAAAATTAATTATCTTGCCTAAATACTAAGTAATTTTTATGACAATCCATACATGATTGTGTCATAAATGGGCACAATCCAGTACCAGTAACACATTTTTAATTGCCAGAAACTTAAAGGGCAAAGTTCTTTCCCCCATAAAATTTGTTGTATCACAAAGTAGTGGACTTTATCCATAGTACATCTAAAATAAGAGATTACCTCAGAGTCCATTGGAGGGTATTTTCTCCCTTTGCTCTTTCCAAGACATTTTGTTTTTCCTTCTTCCAGAAGTTGACACCAAAAACCTTTGTGTGAGTCAAACCTGAAACATATACTACATTTAAACTCAATAAATGCTCTTCATTTTCTAGTTAGGCAATAAAATGTCAACATCTTTTGTAGCCTTGTCTGCATAACCTTGTCTATATGACCTCCAGATCAGTGGTGAAATTCAATTTTTTTTATTACCGATTCTGTTGGTGTGGGCATGGCTTGGTGGGCATGGCAAAGGAAGGATACCGCAAAATCTCCATTCCCACCTCACTCTGGGGCCAGCCAGAGGTTGTATTTGCCGGTTCTCTGAACTACTCAAAATTTCTGCTACCAGTTCTCCAGAACCTCTCAGAACCTGCTGGATTTCACCCCTGCTCCAGATGGAATTAACATGACTGGAGCCATTAATTCAGCCAGCCACTATTTTGTTCTGTCCTATAGGAAGGACATTATTATTATTACTCTTCATTTATATTTTTTAATGGAGCTCCAGAATATATTTGACCGAAGAAACAAACAAAAAAGTAGAAGAGCTGTAAAAAGACTATCACTCACAAGAGAAATCAAATGAGGCGAAATATAAATCTACACCTTAATGAATGAGCATATGATTTTCACATTTCAGGTTTAGTATCTGGAATCTCCAGGGTAGAATATATATTTTTTATTTGCCAGAAAGTTCTTGCAAGCCCAAAGCAGATTAATAATCTGACTCACTATTCTTCCAATTTGGCACAGTGTAACAGAGTTATAAAGAATATATAAAAAGTTATAGAGAATATATTTTAAAATTTCTTAATCAAAGAAGCTTGGCATATAGAAGACAGACCATGTTATTAGTTCTCAGCATTTTCCAAGTCAAGAAAATTAGATTTTACGAATTAAAATACATACATATGGATTAGGTTTATGTATTTCTACCTTCCATACATAAAATATGGTTGTGATGCATAAAATTTTCCTAACATTCACATTTATGCATATATACCAATGATTGTCATGATAATCTATTGATAATACATAACAATGATAATCATGTTATATGATATCATGTTATATGATATCAAATCCCAACATGGGATTTGATATCATATACAGTATTGGCTTGATTTGCATATTGTACTAAGTGAACGATAGGCACATTTCCGGAAAGGAATAAGTAATAAATTGTCTTTGCCTACTCACAAACACAACAGTGGGATGCTTAGGACAATCACTGCGTGTTCTAAGTTTATACTACTTTGTTGTATGGATTATATTTCTAACAAACTTGTACCACATTTGGTGTCATTGGTTTCAACAAAATTGGTTGGTTATTTGCTAGCTTATAAACTGAAATAAAGATATCTAAGGCTAAAATAAGGGATGCGATGGCTCAGTGGCTAAGACACTGAGCTTGTCGATCGAAAGGTCAGCAGTTCAAATCCCTAGTGCCGCGTAAACGGGGTGAGCTCCCGTTACTTGTCCCAGCTTCTGCCAACCTAGCAGTTCGAAAACACGTAAAAATGCAAGTAGAAAAATAGGGACCACCTTTGGTGGGAAGGTAACAGCGTTCAGTGAGCCTTTGGCATTTAGTCATGCTGGCCACATGACCACAGAGACGTCTTCAGATAGCGCTGGCTCTTCAGCTTTGAAACGGAGATGAGCACCGCCCCCTAGAGTCGGGAACGACTAGCACATATGTGCAAGGGGAACCTTTACTTTTACCTTTAAGGCTAAAATAATTCAAAAAAGTAAAAGTGCTGGAATGAAAGAAGAGGTTTTCAAAAGAATGAGTTGTTTTAAATGGAAACATTTTAACAAATCGTTTTGCATAAGAAAAAAAAAACCAGCACTGGATTTAGATGCAGCTGGAAATAATCCACAGTATTTCAGGTCAAGAGCTCTGAAGAAAAAGAAGTAGGAAGCTGAAAAGGACTGCTCTAGAAGTGAATTTGATCTATTTTCTCTTTAAAATCATATTTATTTCTCAGTAAATAAAATCAATTTTCTATACATGCTGCAACAAAACGAAACAAACAAAAAAAAACACAGTTGCCTCAGAGACATGAAATAGAGCTAGGAATGGACGCCATATTATTCTAAGTCCTTCTTATGAGAACCCAAACAAAGACACAGACCAAGGTTATCAATCTCATTTTAAGGGCAGGTGAATAAATCTTTTAAGTTCAAATGGTCTCTGTGTGTAATTATTTATTGTAGATCCACTGGATGCCATGTGAATGAGGTTAGCGTTGTGTTTTTCTATCAAAAGAAAAGAAAATGAGTTTTGGTTCTTCTTGCTTTTGGAAGTGGAAAAAAGGATGTCATTCTATTTGCCAGTTTAAAAGGCAGAACCAGTTTACGGGATATAGTCCTTCCTCTGTCTCTGAAATAGTCCACTATATTCATTTTAAAGGAAGATTTATGGAAATTCAGTGGTGGTGAATAATTGCTAGTGTTGTTCTCGTTTAATGGAGTCGTATTTGAGTAAATCCCAAAATAAAATGCTGATATTATCAAATTAATAATATACCGGTACTTATTATTAATCATAATAATTTGTCATTCATTAATTAATATATTAATATTGTTTCCTTAAGAATGTACTTCTAAGAAAAATGTTAGAAGTATACCCTGTTTCCTCAAAAATAAGACATCCCCCGATAATAAGCCCAATTGGGCTTTTGAGCGCATGCGCTAAAATAAGCCTCCCCTGAAAATAAGCCCTCCCTGAAAATTTTTAAACGCAGAGCTGGAAATCAGGTAAGACTGCAAGAGGAGCCCCATCTTGCTCCACGCGTCCCAAAATAATAAGACCTCCCCGAAAATAAGGCCAAGTGCTTATTTCGGGGTTCAAAAAAATATAAGACAGGGTTTTATTTTCGGGAAAACATAGTAACTTTTTGGGACAAAGGTTTTTTTTTAAAAAAATGTTTGAGAGAAGAAATAAAGAAACAATTATACTATGGCTTTTAAATAGGATATTTGACAAAGGTGTGTTTTCATTTGTATATGTAGCCATGTACATTGCTCTTTTATTATTCCTTTTTAGAAACCACAGGTAAAGAAGAATATTTCTAATCATGGTTTCTTCTTTCTTCCAAATTTAGTAACCCCAATTTCTTAGTTTGGACAAATAAGTATTAATGATAGACTGCCTGATTCAATAGCTTACATGAAGGGATATAATATTTATGCATATTTTGATTTATCAAGCCAAGTTACAATTGTATGAGTTGCTTTGTTCTCAAAAATATTTATTCTGTACAATTTAATCAGTGGTGGGTTTCTACCGGTTCGCCCCAGTTTGGGCAAACTGGTAGCGGTGGCGGTGGGAGGCTCTGCCCACTTGCCCGGACATCATCACGGTTGCTCTGCGCATGCGCAAAAGGTTCTGTCCATGTGCAGAAGCGCCGCGCGCGCTCACAGTTCCAAACTGGTAGCGAAGGTAAATGAAAACCACTACTGAATTTAATGTATATAATATGTTAAATCAACAAATTAACTCACGTTAGAGCTTCTGAATAATTATAATGAGGAGTAACTCCCAGAAACTTCTGCACTTCTTCCATTACTATAGCTGGGTCATTTCTCAACTGCTGTCCATCGATAATTAGTAACTGGAAAGAAAAAGAAAGAAAGGAAGGAAGGAAGGAAGGAAGGAAGGAAGGAAGGAAGGAAGGAAGGAAGGAAGGAAGGAAGGGAAAGAAAATTAACAATCAATTCTGGATTCAAGACTGTATAAACAACAACTCATTTTCAAGTTTTAGAAAGGAAGGGATGTACAAATTGAATAACATTTAAATCCATTCATATTTATCATCAATTTTAATGATTTGAAGTTTCATTAATGTTCATTTCATTACATGAAATTGATCTGAATTGTAAGCTGCTTGATACACCAATGGTGACTGAGAAATAAAATGAGGTTTCTAGAAACACCAAATTGATCAGTAAGAAATTAAATGTGATTTGCCTTGAAAAATGTATATGCAAGTTTCAAAACTTAATTCTTTTAAGCAAACTATAAAAATGTGCTTATCTTCCAATACATAAAATATTAAGCCTTTCCTCAGGCTTAAGTCTAGGAAACCAATGTGGGCAGTGGTGAAATCCATATTTAAGAGCCCTGGTAGCGCAGCAGACTAAAGCACACTGTTATTAATATCAGCTGCCTGCAATTCCTTTCTAAGGTAGGTAAAATGAGGACCCAGATTGTGGGGGCAATAAGCTGACTTTGTATAAAATATACAAAAGTATGAAGGCTATTGCTTAACGCATTGTAAGCCGCCCTGAGTCTTCAGAGAAAGGCGGCATAGAAATCAATTTTTTTTTAAAAAAAAATTACTACTGGTTCTGTGGGCATGGCTTGGTGGGTGTGATGTGGCTTGGTGGGCGTGGCATGGGAAGGATACTGCAAAATCTCCATTCCCACCCCACTCCAGGGGAAGGATATTGCAAAATCCTCATTTGCTCCCCACTCCTGAGGGAAGGATATTGCAAAATTTCCATTCCCACCCCACTCTGGGGCCAGCCAGAGGAGGTATTTGCTGGTTCTCTGAACTACTCAAAATTTCCATTACCGGTTCTCCAGAACCTGTCAGAACCTGCTGAATTTCACCCCTGGATCAAACATCATTTTCAAGTCTACATTAATTAACTGACAATGGGATATGTACTGTGTGAGCCAGATACTGTCTTAGGTGGAAGCTATAGGATGACAACAATGAAGAATTGCTAGTAATGTTCTAAAGCAGTGACCTCCAACCTTTTGGGCAGCAGGGATTGGTTCCGTGGAGAGAAGTTTTTCCACGGACCGGAAGGGATGTGCTTTTGTGTGCTCTTCTACATCCTGCAGATGGGGCTTCACTTGTTTGCACGGCCCTGTTTCTGGCATGCTGCGGACTGGTGCTGGTCCATGGACTGGGGGTTGGAGTTCCCTGTCCTAAAGCATAAACCCTAATTAAGCTGGCCCTGCTTGAAACAGCTAGACTTTCAAAAGAATTAGATAAGGACAAAGTTTTCTTTAAAAATGAGAAGGAAAATTGAGTCTGTTATGCCAAGGAATATACAGGTTGAACAAGAGCAACGTTGTGGACAATTCACGTTTTGGACAATCTACACATATATGCAAATTCATGAGGCGTAATGTTCCACATAATGGAATAGAATGAATAACTAAAACAAAGGGAATGCGATACAGCATGATTGGGCCATGTTTAGACCAGCTGCAGTCTCTGGAATGCTTAATACTCCCTAAACTCTGAAATAACAATTGGCAGGTGAAGTTTTGTTGAGGCAATCTATTGTTCTGGCTCAGAAAAACAAAACAACAGCAACCTGTGAGCACTAAAAATCCTGCCTACTCATTAGATCCTGAATAGTTTGAAATGTGATACTGTTTACCTGATAAGGTGGGAAATATGTTAACCATCTTTCCAGATGAATGGCATACCATCCAGGTATCAGACATTTCTTCTGCAACATCTTAAGTTCTGATGAAGCATGGTGTCCTGCAGTGATCACTTGATAAAATGTAAATTTTAGAGCAGCTGGGTCTTTGTGAAATCTTTGGTGCTGAAAAACAAATTTAAGGAAGTCAACTGTAAAGCAATGTTAGTTTAAGTTCAGAATATTCTTCCTTTTTGAATATTCGCCTTCCACGCAGCTATTGTACCTCTTTGATTCAAGGCCAAATATGAAGCAAGCATTTTGCTGGATTTAATACAAACAAGGTTATATACAGATTAACCATTATATAAGAGGACAGAAGCAAAAGTATATACAATATAACACTCATAATATTTGTTTGAATGTTTTTAAGCATAACAATCTGGAAGATTGATCCTGGTTATTATTATTATTTTTTTGTATTTTAATTTTTGAATAAAAAATTAAAAAATGAAAACAATTTGATTATTTCATTTGATAAGACATTTTATTGTTTGATAGAATCTTTTCTGTCTTAAAAGCTTTCTCTTGCTTCATGTTTTTAAAAAATTACTGACTTCTGCTTGCTAAGCATATGTTTATTCTTAAACTATAGAAGTCAGTTCTCAGTGAGATGAGTTACTGCCCAATAAACATCTGAATTACAATTAAAGAAAGGATCAAAAAGCTTTCATTGACAGTTTTTAAGCCTATCAATTATGGACTTGTCAATAATGATCCATACGTCTGACTGCAATTGTGGTACGCAATGAATAACAGAAGCAAATTATCATACATACATTTAGAATCTGCATTTTGTTAAAATGTATACCTGATACCAGGAATATGCTCGATCTGATGGATCAATGAGAATAGTTATGATTTTTGCCTTAGGAATTAATGAAGCAACTCGTTTAGGAGCGTCTTCAGAATGAAAATAATTGGCACTCTTCTCAAAGAGAAAATCAGTGGTTACATTGGATGGTGTAGGAAAAAATTCCATATACCTACAAAACATGAAAAATATTTTAGTACAGCATTATATGGAGAAAAAAAGTTATGCTGGGCATATTAAAGCTATTTTCCTAGCAAAGCATATCATTTTTGCTAACTTCTATATATGTGAAACCAATTATAAATAGATTATCAACTGATTTTCATTCTGCCTAATTGTATTTTCTAAATAAAGGTAAAGGTTAAGGTTGCCCTCGCACGTATGTGCTAGTCGTTCCCAACTCTAGGGGGTGGTGCTCATCTCTGTTTCAAAGCCGAAGAGCCAGCGCTGTCCGAAGACGTCTCCGTGGTCATGTGGCCAGCATGACTAAATGGTAAAGGCGCATGGAACACTGTTCCCTTCCCACCAAAGGTGGTCCCTATTTTTCTACTTGCATTTTTTACGTGCTTTCGAACTGCTAGGTTGGCAGAAGCTGGGATAAGTAATGGGAGCTCACCCCGTTAAGCGGCACTAGGGATTGGAACCGCTGAACTGTCGACCTTTTGATTGACATGCTCAGCGTCTTAGCCACTGAGCCACCGTTTCCTTATTTTCTAAATATTTTCTAAATAGAAAGCATTATATCTTAAGTTAACTTTAGGAGATTTGGATGTGATTTGGTTTGAGTTACATTTAAATTTGTCAAATTCAGCTGTAGCTCTGACATCTTTATGACAAAGAAACAGCAAGGGGTTTTACACCATAACCTAAAAATCTGGTTGGAACTTTGACATCTTACAAATCTAGTTAGAATGAGTAACATATATCGCCGCTGTGAAATGATACAACCAAACTTTCCATTTGTTTCCAGGGCTCTTGGCATTGATTCAAACAGTATTTACACATTGTCTTTACAACTATCCTTATTAAAAGTTAAAAGTCCACGGTATAGAATTTGTCCTCAGAATGAAAATTTTAAAATATCAACATTTGTTTTCTTTTTTAGTAACATTATTTATTTTCATTTTATGGGTCTTGTAGAAATGTGACTTATGTATGTTAGTGGACTTGATATAATAAAAAGTAATTTGTTTAAAACACTATTAAGCTATAACCCACTTTCCATTTTCCAGTAAGTGCACTAAGTTCAGTGAACATTATTTTGTGTAGGGAAGGTGTGGAAATTTCAGAGAAGAGGAAAAAGAAGTGAGTTGGTTAAGCTAGATTCAAGTGTGTCCATTTGAAAAGAAGTGAGATGTTCATCCATGAAGTTGGAATACCATTTACCGCAGTTCATATAGAAAATATTTATTTGAAATCATGGAAATGTTTAGAAATTTCTATGCAGAAATAAGAACAATGTAGCAGACTTTTCACTCTTATTTCAATATATTGTTTTAATAAATAAAAATTTGCTTATGAAAATTCAGATTTTTTGACGGTTTAGATATTTACATTTACACCACAATAATATGCAGCTGCCTTTTAATTAATTTTCAAGTCCTTGCACAATTAATGCAGCTCATTGTATATTTAGACAGCTATTTTCCAATTTCCAAGTGAATACAGGAAAAAATATACTTGCTGCTGAGGACTGCCTTATACGCACAGAATTTTTGGAAGAATAGTAAAAGTTCACACTAAGTTGCATACATTAGACATACTGCATATATATATATATATTGGTATTGTGCATAATACAGAATGATTTAGATTCATACTAGTAGCCCATCTTACCAATCAATCCCCCTGTGGTAGTTATTTCTATTAAAGAACTGTACCTCCTCAAAGGTTTTGGGGCTGGGGGAGTTACTAATGATGGAAGGATGCATAATCAGGAACAAATATAAAGCCGTTGTGCCTGCAAAAAGAGTAACAGTCCAAGAGTTGAGATGAAACTTCTGCACTCTGTCAACCAGATCCTTATTTCATGTACAGCTCCTTTAGCAAGCATCATCGCATTTACACTAGCAAATAAAACAAAGTAGAAAGCAAACAAAGTATGAAGGCAAATATACATGTCCCAGGATAAGGTTGCAAGATCCAATCTCGGTCGGTCACCGGGACCAGAGGTGCCAGATAACCTCTGGTCTAGGGGTGGGTTCTACTTACCTTTACTACTGGTTTGTAGCGGGGCCGCGCGCGCGCGCTCGCTTCGCTCGTGCATGCTCTTCTGCACATGCGCAGAAGCATTTTGATGATGTTGGGGTCAGTGGGCGGAGCGTCCCGCTGGTTTTACTACCGGTTCTATAGAACCGGTGCGAACCGGGGGCAACCCACCACTGCTCTGGTCCCAGTGACCGACCCAGACTGGATCTTGCAAAAGTATTTTAAAGAAAAAACAAACATGTATAAAAAGCTTTCTTTTGTCGAACAAAAGTAAGTTTCCTTTGACTAAGTTTTCTTTGATTTTTATTCAAGCAGCATCGGAATGGGAAAAGAAATCAAGGTGCATTGCTTTAATGTTGGGTTTTGTTTTTTTTTGTCTTAAAACATTGCAAAGACACTAAAAGGAAACGAAAGGACAACACCCAACCCTGACAAGATGAAGCAGTTTGGCTTTTTTGCCTCCACCCCAGGCCCTGGAAATATGTCAACTTTGACTCTGGATGAGATGCTCTTTTTGGATGAGCTGGTACAGAATTTGGAGGTTCTCCTAGACCACGGGTGTCAAACTGGTGGCCCACAGGCCGGATGCTTCACGTGCAGGCCACACCCACCCCAGCTCCATGAATGGGAAAAAAAATCACAAAATGTCACGTGACATCAATGTCAGTGGTGGTTCTATCCAGTTCGGGTGAATCGGTAGCGGTGGCTGCAGGAGGCTCCGCCCACCCACCCGGATGTCATCATGTCCTGTTTTTGACGCGCTGAACATGCGCAGAGGTGGCCCGTGCACTCACATTTGTGAACCGGTAGTGAAGGTAAGTGAATACCACCCCGATTAACGTGATGCCGTGAGTTTGATACCCGTGTCGTAGACCATGGCTCTTGCTTAAGAAGCAGGGGACAGTATGGCTTGAGGTTTCAAGAACCCTGCCATGCATGCCATAGCCCAAAGGAGGCACAGCAAGAATTCATTGGAGTTTCAGGATCCCTTAGGGATCCATTGAGATTTTGCTGCTCTCATCCAATTTCAAAAATAATAAAAAAAAAAGTCCAAACACTTTGGCTTTACATGTCTTTGGAGATGGAGTTATGACAGCCTGAAAAAGATATTGGCATATGAACCCACATGCTTGTATTCTTGATTTACACCCTATATAAAGTTTTTACCAGTTTTTTGTGGTCCAATAACCAGGAATTTTGGTAAACGATCACAAGTTTTTTCTTTAGACCAGATATCTCTGTGTCGTTTGTCATCACAAGGATTCTAAATGGAGAGAAAGAACAATTTTATATTAGTTTTTTGGGGGTTTTTTGGTCACTAATCTATATGACACTACTCAAGTGTTGCACTGAAGAAAATACAGAAGCCAAATACATCTAGTGAACAATATGTCTTAACTTATGAATCTATGAAAAATAAAAAATGAACATTGCTATTAATATTATCCCTTTACAATTAAAATATGGGTTTATTTTATTCTAATCTAATTATAATCCATGACTTCTTTTTATTATGATACTAGAATATTTATCTTTCTCACATGATTATTCAGGAGTATCCCACTGAGTTACATGATATTGCCTTAATATTTAAGATATTAAATATTAAAATCTAATATTCAAAGCTTTGATTTTAAAAAAAGTATTTGAGAGTTACACAAAGATCTATAATATAGTGCTGTAATGGCAAACCTATGGCACGTGTGCCAGACGTGGCATGCAGCGCCCTCTCTATGGGCACGCGAGCCATCGCCCCAGCTCAGCTTTACCATGCATGAGTGTGTGCCTCCCGCTGTCCAGCTGGTCTTCGAGTCTCTGCCGCACATGTGCAGGGGGGGCACATGCACGGTGGGGCGCGTGCACACATGCGTGGGGAGCAGGCTGCATGCACGGGGGGTGTATGCGTTTATTGCATTTTGGGGGTTTGGGCGCACATCCGTGCATTCACACACGTGCATGCTCACTTTGGGCACTCTGTCTGGAAAAGTTTAGCCATCACTGATATAATGGGTTCTTCTGATATATCTGCCTTCTGTAAAGTATACTTTTAGATATGTTAGAACTTTCATTTTTGGTCAAGTTATCTAAGAGGAGCAATATCAAAGTGCCCAGACTGTGTATATTTTAGAAGACTGAAGTAACATTTTCTAACAGTTTCCTTTACTGCTATTGAAATGCTCTTTATTCATGGAGATTTCCCTAGCTCAAAGACTTTGTATAAGGCAAATCGTTTTTATTATGATTAAGAAGGACTAGGGGTGACATGATAGCAGTATTTGAGGGGCTGCCACAAAGAAGAGGGGCTCATCTTATTTTCCAAAGCACCAGAATGCAAGATAAGAAACTAATCAAGGAGAGAAATTATCTGGAATTAAGGAGAAACTTCTTAACCAGTGGAACAGTTTGCCTTCAGATGTTGTGGGTGCACCATCACTGGAGGCTTTTAAGAAGAGACCGGACAGCCACTTGTCTGAAATGGTCTAGGGCCCTGATGGCGAATCTTTTCTGGACCGAGTGCCCAAAGAGCGTGTATGCGTGCGCAAATGCACCTGCAAATGCACACGTGCATGCCCGAATCCCCAAAATGCAACGCGCATGTGCCCCCCCGTGCATGCTCCCCCGGCCCCACATGTGCGCGCACACCTCCCACACATGCCCCACCCCATGCATTAACGCGCACCCCCCCGCACGTGCCCCACCTCCTGTGCATGCACGCGCGGGCCCCCGCAACCGCCCTGCCCTCCCGTGCATGCGCGGCAGAGACCCGATGACTAGCTGGCTGGCAGGAGGTGCATGTGCATGCACGGCAGAGGTGAACTGGGAAAATGGTTCACATGTCCACAGAGGGGGCGCTGCGTGCCACCTATGACACCCGTGCCATAGGTTCGCCATCGCCGGCCTAGGGCCTCCTGCTTTAGCATAAGGTTGGACTAGGTCCCTTCCAGTTCTATTCTGATTGATCGATGTAACCATAGAATACTATTGCATTTTTTTCATATTACATTTTCATAGTTTCATAATATTACTATTAATACTGATGTAGTCAAAACTTGTAGTCAAGCACCTTATTCTTTATCATGTACATATTATATCCTTTCCATCACTAAGAACTGATTACATATGTTACATTTAAAATTTACACCAGGTAAAATAACAGGACTCTTGCAGTGCACGTCTTACCTGCCATAGTGGATCCTTTTGTTCTGGAAATAGTTCAAAGTATTTGTGAGCCAGCTGAAGTGGAGGTAGAGTCTGCAGCTTCAGGTTAGTCCAACTTTGAACAAAATTGGCCAGATTGACAAAGGTGTATAAACCCAACCGGTCATTGCCATAATTAGACAGGTGAGTCATAAAAATACTGATCTTAAAGACAAAAAGCACATTTACTTCTATCACTAGATGGCAGTAAAGTAACATGAAAAAATGTGATTGCTTTTTAAATGGACTTCCATAAGAACAAGGCGCTAAACTTTTTCCTATTACTTAACACTTACAGGTATTGGTGATCAATCAGTTCAATAATCCTGCCAACCCTGAAAATGACATATGTGTAGCCATATTTTTTTTTGTCGCCTTTGTGCTCTTTTTCTATTAGCCTTTAAGTTTGTAGTAACTGAATTTAAAATCATTTCAGGCTCGCCTCTTTCTAACTGTTGAAAGGGGAGGAGTAAAGATAAAGGGGGGATGTTATGTCTAGGTAGCATTCCTTTTCCGTGAGTTTGGACTGACAATTGATTAGAGATTGTGACTCAGGAGGGAAGTCTCAAACTTTTGCTTTTATTGAGTGTAATTCCGGATCCGGTTCAGAGTCGAAATTACACCAAGTCCTTGCCAATTTAATGTGTTCCTAATAAATGAATTTACAAAGGAAAATGGATGCCTGCCTTGGATTTTAATTTTTGGGACGTTACTTGGAGGCTTGACAAGTCATGGATGATATTATTTTTTTCTTATTATCTGAAGTAGCCCAAAAGGATGCACAACAAATATTAAAAATAATACTCAATAAACATAAATTCAAATAATAGACTAAATAAACACAATGTGGAGTATTTAAGAATTCATTTTAAAGGAAGTCTAATTCTTCCAAGATGTATCTGAACAAGAATATTTTAAGCTGTTACTTAAAATGAGAGTATGGAAAGCCAATTATTATTTTATCCATAAAATAAGAAGAGGGTTTTACTCTGAAATCTGCAAGCCACTTAATCACTTTTGACCACGAGCTGATACAACTGATCATAGCATATGGATTGGCAGCAGTGGATGATAGTTACTTATTGTATTATATTATTATTTTTGTTTTTGTTGATTTAGTATATCAAGAACTATTAATGTCTCTAACTGGTTAACAATAGAGCAAGAATAAAATCAACACATTTAATGTATTTAAAATAACAAAACTAATAAAACTAAGTAAAATAATTTATTAATCAAAATAGCTTTTGAGCTTTGAGTAAGTAGCTCTGAGGAATTTCAAATCTTGGAATTTTCTTTTGTTGGGAGTATTACTTGGAACCCTGACAGAACTAACAATAAAGCCCATTCAAAAAGACACTGGCCCTCTCAATTTTTTTTAGGGAATGCTCTTTAAAAAACTGGACAGCAATAAAAATAGATTAAGCAAAGCAATATAACCTTAAGACTAAGGTTTTACTTCGTATTGCTTTGTAGTTCTTGTTCTCAGCGTTTTTCAAAATAGGGGCCCTTAAGATGTGTGGACTTCAATTCCCATAATTCCCCAGCCAGGATTTGGAGTAAACCCTTTATTATTTTCTAATGATGAAGAGAAAGACACAATTCCTCAACTGAACGCCAAACTTATATTGATGTTGAGAAGAAAGAATTTTCTTTTTAGGAAAGAAATCTTCCACATCAGGGGTGCTATTCAGCAGGTTCTGACAGGTTCTGGAGAACCAGTAGCGGAAATTTTGAGTAGTTCGGAGAATCGGCAAATACCACCTATGACTGGCCCCAGAGTGGGGTGGGAATCAGGGGCGGGTTTCAAAACCCATCACTACTGGTTCGCTCGTGGGTACGCATGTGCTGACGCACGATGCTTCTGCGCATGCGCAGAAGTGTCCGGGCAGAACCTCCCGCCGCCACTACCAGTTCACCCAATCCGGGACCGAACCAATAGCAAGCCACCACTGGTGGGAATGGAGATTTTGCAATATCCTTCCACCAGAAGTGGAGTGGGAATGGGGATTTTGCAGTATCTTTTTATCTATCTATCTATCTATCTATCTATCTATCTATCTATCTATCTATATATCTATTATTCATATTTCTATGCCGCCCACTCTCCGAGGACTCTGGGCGGCTTACACCAAAGACAGTATACTAAATAGCATATTTGCCTCCAACAATCTGGGTCCTTCCCCTGGAGTAGAGTGGAAATGGAGATTTTGCAGTATCCTTCCCCTGGAGTGGAGTGGGAATGGAAATTTTGCAGTATTCTTCCCCTGCCACACCCACCAAGCCATGCCCACCAAGCCACGCCACGCCCACCAAGCCACACCCACAGAACCGGTACAAAAAAATTTGAATTCCACCATCCACATAAATAACGTTTTCATTTTTTCAAAAAATGTTTAGTCCTTAAACCATAAGCAGACCAAAAACTGAACTGTTATTTTTGAAGGCACTAGACAGGAAAATTTCCCGATAGAATATAAACTTGATTTTTTTAATAGCCACGCTTAGTTCTTACTCCTTTGTGACCTCTGACATTTATAATGTCAGTTCACTTCTCAATAATTCCTTTTCTGCCAACACTTTTAGCATTGTACTGAAAGAAGAAGAGCGACAGAAACTGAAAAGGTTAGTAGTTCAGGTAAAATAGGTATTATTTTTTCCCTGAAGGGAATTTCATTGTAGTCCTAAGAATGCTATAGAATAGTAGCACTTTCTTTCTTCTTTTAAAGTGAAGTGTATAAAGATGACTTTCGGTGGCAAACAACAATAAAAATATCAAAACAATGGTTTTTGGAAGGGAAAGCACAATGGTTAACCAGGATGAAATGATCCACCCACACCTTCCCAAAGGATACCTTGACTTATCACAGCGTAAGAAGAACCAGACGGACAAACGCATCTTCAAGGCTTGTTTGAAGGAAAGCAGGATAGGAGCCATTCAAGAGAACATTTTGTTATTAATATAGTTTCTAGATGACAGGCTAACAATTTGCAAGTAGATTTAGTAGTTTAACAGTTTGAAATTTTTTTTGGCCTGTTTCACAAGGGGTGGGAAACTAATATTGTTATAGTACACCAATCAGGATTCAACTAGGGAGGACTTTATGTATATATGTGTTAGTTACCGTACTTTTCGGACTATGAGACGCTCTGGACTATAAAACACACCTCCCTTTTTTGGTAGAAAAAGAAATCTGCCTCTGCCTCCCAGCAATTTTGTAAACAGCAAACAGCCTATCATCAAATTCATTCAGGTATCTTAGGCTCAGAGCCAAATAGGGGCTCAAAACTAATGTGGAAGGTTATTCATACATGGTCATCAGCAGTGGTGGGTTGGTCCCGGAGGTTCAGCCCACCCACCCGGACATCATAATTGATGGTCGGCGCATGCACAGAAGCGCACATGCACTCCCATTACGAACCAGTAGTAAAGGTAAATAGAACCCACCTTGGCCATTAAGCCTTTGGATTCTAAAGCAACATTACAGGAAGTATGAAAAATATATAACATTCTTGCCTGGATTTTACAACTGAACTTTGCAAATTAATAAAGATAGATTGGCTGATACTAATTTCTTTTAAACTGCATTCAGAGTTGTGAAACATTGGTAGTAATAATTCCCTTTTTTTAAAAATAAGACCTGCCACTAATTAACTGAAATAAGTCAGTTATAGCAGACTGTGGAGAAAAAAAGTTAAATTGGCCTTAAGCTATTCTACCAGCACATTCTGAAGTTGTTCAACATCTTCCTGACATATTTTTTGTCCTGAGCCTAATTGTGGCATTAAAGTCACATCACATTTTGCTTAATGTGTACAAAGAACAGAAGTAATGTCATATAACTCTTCAAGGTATTATTGTTGTTGTTGTTGTTGTTGTTGTTGTTGTTGTTGTTGTTGTTATTATTATTATTATTATTATTATTTAAATGAAATAATTGATGTTTAAAGATTCATTCATGGGCTGGAAACAAAAATCCATTCAATTAAATATAACAAAGTTATTTTAGATGCAGAACAAATGTTTACAGGCCACAAGAGTATGTTTAACTTCCAGACCATCTATTTTCCAATTAATTTGGCATTGTGTACACTATGTAGAGTTCCTGATTTTGCCATCCTATTACTCAAAAGAGTTCCATCTGAGGTATTCAGAGACTTAGCAACAGCTGCTCTTGCTCCATTAGACTTACAAAGTGACAGAATAATGAATTAGTCTTCCAGCTATGCTTGAATATATTTGCCTAAATTGGTGACAGGAATTCATTTTTTAAAGATGGATAAGAGAAAACAGTGCTCTCCATGCCTGAGGATTAAAGAGAGATGTTTGCACCTGCCTTCCTTACTCACAGCTCTATGGTTCACAAATTTTGGATATATCTAATGATAAACAGACATGGATAATTCCAGGGATGCTATTCAGCAGGTTCTGGAGAACCGGTAGCAGAAATTTTGAGTATTCAGCAGGTTTGGAGAACCGGTAAATACCACCTCTAACGGGCTCCCACTGATTGGCTGGGTCTTCTTTTGTTGCTCTGCACAGGAGAATGGAGCTGGAAAGCAGGTTAGTGGGGTGGGGAGGGAATGGAGATTTTGCAATATCCTTTCCCCAGGAATGGGGAGGTAATGGAGATTTTGCAATATCCTTTCCCCAGGAGTGGGGAGGGAATGGAGATTTTGCAGTATCCTTCCCCCAAGAGTGGGGAGGGAATGGAGATTTTGCAATATCCTTCCCCTGCCGCACCCACCAAGCCACACCACGCCCACTAAGCCATGCCCACAGAACCAGTAGTAAAAGAATTGAATTCCACCACTGAATAATCCCTTTCACAAAAGTTACCTGATACAAACAATTCTTACAAGAAAACATACAAATATTTTTAAGGAGGGAGCAACAATTACTTTGTAAAATACTGAAAACCCTTTATGGACTTTTTTTTTTTTTTTTTGCTAAAAATGGATAAAAATGAATTGGTGATTTTGGGATTTATTGATCAAAGGAAATCCCTTTCTTTGCAGGAAAAAGGGACCCATGATATGTAATTTGGGATACTGGAAATAGTAATTACCATGTTTGTAACTGTTGCAGTGAACATCGGAAATTGCATGTTTAGATGTATTTCTCTCTCTCACTTTTTCTTTGATTCTTTCATATTTTTTTTCTT